GGAGGGAGGGAGGGAGGGAGGGAGGGAGGGAGATGAGTGGTCATGGCGACAGACACCTGGAAGTACTGAACCCACTCGCTGTGGCAATACGGGAAGGTGCCCTCCAGGGCCCGCGTCAGCTGACTACTTTCCACATGGCGGCTCAGAGCCTTGAGAGAGCTCAGCAGCTCCACCTGCAGGAAGGGCACAATAAGACAGTCAGTGGGGTGGCCAGAAGGCCGGGTCCGCCTCGTTCACTGAGGACCACCCTTAAAGAGGACGGGAAAGAATCGCTTTCCAAAGGGATGGTGGATGGGCCGGAGGGGACCCCTAAGGCACTCTGCGTGGTGCGGGTCAAAGGGCGCCCTCCTCCTTGTAAAGCAGCAATTAGTCAGACTCATCCATAGTTCACGTTCCACTCACTAACCTGAGCAGCATTGATAACAGAAGAGTAAACTCTTTCCGATGCTTATAATGGATGAAAAGCTTGCAGCGGCAGCATCTCCTAGCCTATCAGGGATCTCTGCACTGACCGGTGTTTGAGTCATTGATAAGAGGGAGCTGGTCGGAACTGGGGAGGAATGCTGCCCTGGTGGAGAGCAGAGAGGGCAGGGGAGGGTGAGGAGGGGTCCCAGTCTCGGGGGGGCTGCAGGAAAGGCTCCTAAGGTTGTCCCCGAGTCCCTCGCTCGGGCTGCAGCCTGTACATCCATCAGGGCTCCTTTCTGATGGTCTTGCAAAAGGCAGCAGTTCATTGACAGGGGAGGCCTTCTGACACACAAAAGTGCAGCTATGGGGGGGGGAAGCTTCTCCTGTTGAGTTTTCAGTCACGATCGACGGGCGAATGAGCCAGAAGGACGGACATGGGGGAGCGAGAACATTGGCCACTTCCAGGGCTATTTTGGGGCAGGAACACACAGGAACGGAGTTCCGGCTGGCTCCCGAGTTGGCCACGCCCAGCAGGAACTCATTAGCATAACAGGCCACACCCAACGGCAGGAACTCATTCGGATTGGCTACATTAGGGGTGTGTGGCCTAACATGCAAAGGGGTTCCTGCTACAAAAAAAGGCCCAGGGTTTTGACCACAAACAAGGTAAACAGAATAAGAAGCAAAAGGTGGGTGTGGCTGGATAACCACACTTCTGGCAACACGGGGGTGTGGCCTAATAGGCTAATGAGCCATGCTGTCATGGGTGTGGCCTAATATGCTAATGAGTTCCTGCTGTTGGGTATGGCCTATTATCCTAATCAGTTCCGGCTGGGCTTTTTCTACAAAAAGAGCCCTGGCCACTTCCAAACCGAATGTTCAACCTGGAATATCAGCAGGCAAAGGATAGCATGCGGAAGACGCGAGAGTTCACCTGAAGGACTCACCTGCAAGCCAGGGAACTTGTCCAGATGGGGCACAGTCTCCTTCTCTGCCAATATCAGGACGGCACGGATGGAGCCAGGGGAGGCCTTCTGCGAAGGAGAACAGGGTGAAGAGTCATCGTTTCCTAAAGCTGGCCTCTGAAGGGCTTTCTCTGACCTTGGGGCTTGCAAATGCGACTTTGGGGGATGGCAAACCAATGAACGTCTTCTCGGCACGGGGCCTGCCTGTCTTTAAGACAGAGGCCTTCCCGGAGGCCCTTTGCAACGTTCTGCTCTACAGCTGTCGAAAGCACGCTCAGTTATTCTGTCAGAACAGTGATAAGAACACAAGAACAGGAGAGACGGCGTGCTGGATCAGGCCAGTGGCCGATCCAGTCCAACAATCTGTGTCACACAGTGGCCCAAACCAGGGTTAGGGTTAGAAAAAGAGGTGCAGGATCTCATTAGCACAACTCATTAGCATAACTCATTTGCATGTGCCACACCCCCTGATGTCACCGGGAGTGTGTCAGAAGGCAACACCCACCGCTCAGGCTCCACTGGACTGTTTCGGATTGCTAGCTATTGGGGGGGGGGGAACGTGCAGATCTGTCCTGGCAGAGGAGGGAGAGCTTGTGCCTGAATAAAACCTGGTCTTAAAGGTGCCACTGGACTGTTTTGGACCGGGGGGCCAAGGGGGGGGGCTCTGCAGCTTACCTGGCTGCTTCTTGCTCTGACTGAGGGCTGCTGGGAGCAGGGGGTGGGGCTTGTTGCATGTGCCTGCCCCCTGGGCTCTTTGCTGCTGGAGCTCCGTTCTTGTGCGCTCCTGCAGGAAATGACCCCTGGCCCAAACCCAGGTGCCATCAGGAGGTCCACCAGCAGGGCCAGAACTCCAGAAGCCCTCCCACTCTGCCCCCCACCCCACCCAAGCACCAAGAAGACAGAGCCCACACTCCACGCAAGGTGCCCTGTTCCCTTCACCCACCTGGGCTTACCTGGACGGAGTCCAGTGCGGCAGAGAGGACAGGGGACAGCGGCTCTCTCCTGGCATCAATGACAGCCGTCAGCCCCGCATCATGCTCAGGTTTCCTGTGGGAAGGAAGGAGATGCTACCAAAATGTCTTGGAGGGAAATGGTGGGACGTACTTACTGGTGGCCACAGAAAACTCAGGGGAGAGAAAGGAAGGCATAAAGGAAAGCCAGGGAGGATGCAAAATCGCCTTCTTCGTCGGCTCTCGATGGGAGATTCGGGAAGGCACGGGGAGCTTTGTTCCTGTGCTTCTGTTAGCTGGGGAAAGCGCCACTACAATTAAGGGAATTGCTTGCAAGTGTCTCCTTAGTAGAGATGTGAAGGGCCAGAAAAATTCAGAAAAAAAAACGTTTTTCCCCATTTTTTTTCTTGAAGCCTTTTTATTTTTTTCTGAAAAATTGGAAAAATTGAAAAAAGAAAAAAAAGAAAGAAAAATTGATTATGGAACGTTTTATTTTAACATGATGAATAAGATATTTTAAGACAAGGTGTTCAAATATTTTCCAAATCATTTCTTATATGTGTGTGTGTGTGTGTGTGTGTGTGTGTGGTATCAGATTGATCTAATTTCTGTGCACTGAGGACAAGCAAGTCCTAGGTTACAAACTGAACCCTCCAATGCAAGAACAAGATGCATTTCTTCCTTTAGGAGGTGCGATTGTCAAAAGAAAACAAAAAAGTTTAAGTTTTGTTTTTGCATGTGCGTGGGTATTCTGTTTGAAATAATTGTTTGGATACACTATATTTTTAATATGCTAGTTGTGATAATTTCATGCCAAGTAAAAATGTCCGGTCATATTTTATGTTCCTAAAGTAACAGAATGACTTTCAATCTAGAAAAGACAAAAGAAATGCTAATGTAGCATTTTTTTCAATTTTTCTGAAAATTTCAATTTCCCCCCCCCAAAAAAACGGGAATAAAACGTTTTTTTTCCCGAGCTTCAAAATTTCCAGAAGTTTTACATATCTACTCGTTGGTCACCTGTTTAGAATCACATAACAGGACCAAAGGTTGTTGGAAGGGGCCAGAGACCAACCCAGTCCAACACCCCTGGCACCAGGCAAGATGATTTAAAGAACTGCACACTGCATTGGTCAAACTGCACCGGGAGTCTCGTATGCATTTCTGGAGGCCTCACTTCAAAAAGGATGTGGTCAGAATGGAGCGAGTGCAGAGGAGAGTGACGAGGATGATCGGGGGCCTGGAGACCGAGAAGCCCTGCAAGAAAAGGCTGAGGCACACCGAGATAACCAAATTCTCTCTTAACTCTGAAGGGCCATGTTGGAAGGGAACCGTGATTAAAGACACCCTTGCGAGTTCCAAAACATGTTGAGATTATTGAGTCTCGTGCGCAGTTCTGAAGGCCTCCCTTCAAAACGGATGTGGACAGAATGGGGCGGGTGCAGAGAAGAGCGACGAGGATGATCGGGGGCCTGGAGACCAAGCCCAGTGAGGAAAGGCTGAGGGACTTCTTGGGAATGTTCAGTCTGGAGAAGAGGAGGCTGAGGGGGACAGGATGGCTCTCTTGAGTATCTGAAGGGCACTTAGAGGAGGGCAGGGAGCGGTTCCTCTTGGCAGCAGAGGAGAGGTCTCGCAAGAATGGGTTTAAATTAAGGGCGGGAAGGTACCAGCTGGATTTTAGGGAAAAAACTTTTTGACAGTCAAGAGTTGTGTAACGGTGGAGTCCTGTGTCCAGTTTTGGGCACCACATTTTAGGAAGGATGTTGACAAGCTCGAGCGTGTCCAGAAAAGGGCAACCAGGATGGTGAGAGGGTTGGAATCCAAGTCTTATAGGAGGAAAGGAGGAAAGAGTTGGGTCTGTTTAGCCTGGGAAAGAGAAGGCTTAGAGGGGACAGGATTGCAGTCTTCAAATATCTGAAGGGCTGTTATGTAGAAGATGGAGCGGATCTATTCTCTTGCTCCGGATTGCAAGACTAGATCTAATGGGTGGGAATTACAAGGTAGTTGATACCGGCTAAATATCAGGAGAGACTTCCTCACTGTAAGAGTGGTTGAGCAGTGGAACAGACTGCCTCGGGAGGTGGTGGGTGCTCCTTCGCTGGACGTTTTCAAGCGGAGGCTGGGCGACCATCTTTCAGGTATGTTGTAGGGCTCTCTTTCGGCTGTGCTCCGGCAGAGTGCAGGGGGTTGGACTAGATGACCTGCAAGGTCCCTTCCAACTCTAACATTCCCTGATTCTATGATTCTATGATTTCTGTGAGTTCTGGATTGAGCATCACAGTATCCATGCTTCACCAGCCTCCATCAGATGGTCAGTCAGTCACCAGGAAGAGGGTTGCCATCCTCCAGGTGGTGGCTGGAGATCTACTGAGATTATATCTGATCTTCAGGTGACAGAGGTCAGTTCCCCTGGAGAAAACTGCTGCTTTGGAAGGTGGACTCTATGGTCTTATACACCCCACTGAAGTCCCTCCCCACAAACCCCGCCCTCCTCAGGCTCCACCCCCAACATCTCCAGGTATTTCCCAACCCGGATCTGGCAACCCCACCAGAGATCCTGCTATGCGATGCCCAAGAAAAGGGGAAAGAGAGACCGACAACATCAAGAACCGAACCCCAGAAGAACCTCAACCCGCTCTGTCTTTCCCAGGCATGAACATGAGGTACAGCACGGGAAGTTAGTCTCAAATTGTTTCAACTAGTGTCCGTGGAACAAAACAGACAGACTGGATGAGAAATCTTGGAAAATCCAGGCTTTTCTTCTCCGCTTTTGGAAGCCAGAAAGCACGTTTGGAATCATAAGGCGGAAGAGGGTTTTCCAACGAGATCCAGAAGAGAGCCATGGAAATCATCCAAAAGGAAACACCTTCTTTACACAGCCAGAGATTGAAACGTGGAATTTGCTGCCAGAGGATGTAGTGAAGGCCATGAGCATAAATGGCTTTAAAAGGGGATTAGACCGATTCAGATCAGATGAGCTGTGGTGGCTCAAGTGGTTAAGACGCTGAACTGCAGGTTGTGGAAGGTCGGTAGTTCAGCAGTTCGAGACCCGAGTGCACCGCATGACGGAGTGAACTCCCGTCTCTAGTTCCAGCTCCTGCCAACCTAGCAGTTCGAAAGCAAGAAATTGCAAGTAGATAAATAGGTACCACTTCAGTGGGAAGGTAACAGTGTTCCGTGCGCCTTGGTGTTTAGTCATGCTGGCCACATGACCACGGAAACGTCTTCGGACAACGCTGGCTCTTCGGCTTTGAAACGGAGATGAGCACCGCAACCCTAGAGTCAGATTCGACTGGCTTTTGAGCACGGGAATCTTTACCTTTTTTAGACCGATTCATGTAGGAGAGGCCGATCGGTGGCTACTAACCATGTTGACTAAAGGGAACCTCCATGTTTAGAGGTACTCAACCTCTGAATCTCAGCGCCAGCAGGCAACATCAGGGGAAGGACTCGGTCCCTGTGTCCTGATGTTGGCCCTCCAGAGGAAGAGGTTGGCCACTATGTGAGACAGGAGGCTGGACTAGTGGACTATTGGTCTGATACAGCAGGGCTCTTCCTATGGTTTTTTTTTTAATTTTTATTTAACCTTTAGCTTGATACCCCGCTCGAACCCCTTGGCTAGGGGTCTCTGAGCGGCTTACATATTTCTTGGTGCTAATCACCCATATTCCTTAACTAGGGCCACAGTGAGTATATCGGGGTGGGACAGCCTACCAGCACCCCCCCTGTGGCGGTTTTTGTCGTCGGGTCGGCTTTAGCTCGGTCGGGTCTCCAGACTTGGCGAGGTGTTGTTATTCTTCCGGCGTGGTGTATTTACAAAGGCCTCAGCCTTTCTGCCCTGTGGTTGGCCCTCCAGAGGAATTGGTTGGCCACAGTGTGAGACAGGAGGCTGGACTAGATGGACCACTGGTCTGATCCAGCAGGCATCTTCTGGTGTTCTTATGAAGGCCTCGGCCTCTATGCCCCGTTGTTGGCCCTCCAGAGGAATTGGTTGGCCACCACGAGACAGAATGCTGGACTTACAGTTGCCAGCTCCAGGTTAGGAAATACTTGGAGAATTAGGAGGGAGTGGAGTCTGTGGAAGGTGGGGTTTGGGGAGAGACTTCAGCGGGGTCTAATGCCAAAGAGTCCACCTTCCAAAGCAGCCATTTTCTCCAAGTGAACGGCCGTCTGTTGCCTGGAGGTCAGTTGTAATAGTGGAATATCTCTAGCCACCACCTGGAGGTTGGCAACACTAGATGGACCACTGGCCTGATCCAGCAGGTCTCAAGTTTTTATGTTCTTATCTAGCTGAAGTGAAATACATCCTATTTGCAAAAAAAGGGGGAAAATTCTTGGGATAATGAAGATGGGAGAAAGGTGTCAGAGTCCTTAGTCAGGTTACGCAAGACAGGGCTTCATGAGAAGATAACTGTTTATTGGTAAATGCAGTACTAGAGACCACGTGTCCAGCTTGTGTCAGGAATGGCCGCCAATATGAGGGCCTCTGACTTATACTAGACTCAAACATCCCCTCAGTAAGCATGAGCCAATGGATACATCTCTCGCGCGGGCGGGCAAAGCAAGCAGGCGAAGCGAAAAGCCGTTAACTTTCCCAGCCAAGTGAAACTGCAGCTGGAGCATCTACAAGGTCAAGCATAAGATAGCAAACGGTTGGTGAGCCAGGGAGAGCTGAGACAGGAAACAGGAGGGCCGCCCCTTTACATCCCAGACCTATGACAGGGCTACCTGAAAAAGGGTTAGGTAAGCGCAGGGCCGGGAGTGCAGAAAGGTTGTCTGCCTCATTCTCATTAGGAGCTCGAGGGGGCTTACCTGGGGAGGGAGGCGAGGAAGAGGAGGAGGTTCGTCACCTCTCGGACGGAGCACCAGGAGGCCTGCCAAGCTGAGCCGCTCGTGGTGATCTGGAGGAGGGCTCTCCCAAGTCTATCGGTGCTCCCTGAAATGCAGGGGAAGGTTGAGGCAAGAATCAGGATTCCTTTGTAAAAAATGCAACATCAACGTTCTCTTTGTCAAGATACACACTGGGGGTGCGGTCAGATGGGCCGTTTAGTCCGCTTTCACACCGTCAACATCTGCCTCCCATCCCCAGCTGCCGCTTTCTGGCTCAAAACCGCTTTAACCCGGAGTATTTTGATACCAGGTCCCCAAGTGGTGTTTTCCTGATTCTCCGGCTCCAGCTGCATTTCCCCCATGTGTGATTGTGCCTCCGGTGTCGAGCCGCTTCTGGTTTAAACCCCCTCCCCGCTCGAAAGCTGCTCGAGCCTTCCGCTTTTCGCCCGCCATTTTTTTTCCCGAGCGTTGCCGGTGTGCGCATAGGCGGAGCTCCGCCACTGCGTTATTACAAACAATGTTTAAATAGTGCCTTTAGACAATTTCGGGATCTCACGGAGGCCCTTTTCGGGGTAAACGTTTAAAGGGAAGTGTTCCTTTAAAGTTTAAAGGGAAGTGCTAGAGCAGTCGGGTTGAAGTGGATATCGCTGTTCTGCGCACGCGCGAAAATGTTCGTTCTACAGAGGGCTGCCTGTGCGCATGCCCAAGATGAGAGAGAGAGAAAAACAACAGTGAAGCACACTCCCACGTGTGGACGGCGGGGAGCGATGTGGCTGCGCAGCGATCCGGAGCAAGGAGGTGAGTGTGATTGGGATTCTCCAGGTTAAAAAAGACCGCATCAGGGCCCGAGCCGTTTAAACCGTTCCCAGCATGCTGTCTGACCGCACCCACACACACATACACCCGGCCTAACTGTCCCCATAATTCTAGTCCACCACTTGTTTATTTCATTTACATTTCACTGTCCTCCCTACTGGAGGCCCACAGTGGCTTACAACATTCCTGCATTTTATCCTCAGCACCCCGGTGAGGTAGGAGCTGCGGTGGCTCAAGTGGTTAAAACGCTGAGCTGCAGGCTGTAAGGTCGGTAGTTCAGCAGTTTGAGATCCGAGTGCCGCATGATGGACTGAGCTCCCATCTCTGGGCCCCAGCTCCTGCCAAACTAGAGTTCGAAAGCAAGAAATTGCAAGTAGATAAACAGGTACCACTTCGGTGGGAAGGAAACAGCGTTCCGTGCGCCTCGGCGTCTAGTCATGCCGACCACATGACCACGGAGAAGTCTTTGGACAGCGCTGGTTCTTCGGCTTGGAAATGGATATGAGCACCGCCCCCTAGAGTCGGATTCGACTGGCTTTTGAGCAAGGGAAACCTTTAACATTACCGTTACCCCTGTGAGGTATGCTATGGGAAGGGTTGTGGCTCAACAGAAGAGCCTCTGTTTGGCATGCAGAAGGTCCCAGGTTCAATCCCCGGCAGCAGCTCCAGTTAAAAGGACCAGGCAGGAGGTGATGGGAAAGACCTCAGCCTGAGACCCTGGAGAGCTGTCAAGAGGGGTTGTGGCTCAGTGGAAGAGCCTCTGTCTGGCATGCAGAAGGTCCCAGGTTCAATCCCCGGCAGCAGCTCCAGTTAAAAGGACCAGGCAGGAGGTGATGGGAAAGACCTCAGCCTGAGACCCTGGAGAGCTGTCAAGAGGGGTTGTGGCTCAGTGGAAGAGCCTCTGTCTGGCATGCAGAAGGTCCCAGGTTCAATCCCCGGCAGCAGCTCCAGTTAAAAGGACCAGGCAGGAGGTGATGGGAAAGACCTCAGCCTGAGACCCTGGAGAGCTGTCAAGAGGGGTTGTGGCTCAGTGGAAGAGCCTCTGTCTGGCATGCAGAAGGTCCCAGGTTCAATCCCCGGCAGCAGCTCCAGTTAAAAGGACCAGGCAGGAGGTGATGGGAAAGACCTCAGCCTGAGACCCTGGAGAGCTGTCAAGAGGGGTTGTGGCTCAGTGGAAGAGCCTCTGTCTGGCATGCAGAAGGTCCCAGGTTCAATCCCCGGCAGCACCTCCAGTTAAAAGGACTAGGCAGTAGGTGATGGGAAAGACCTCAGCCTGAGACCCTGGAGAGTGGCTGCCAGTCTGAGTAGACAAGACTGAACTCAATGGACCAAGAATCTGATTCAGTAGAAGGCAGCTACACAGATGAGGCTGAGAGCGTGTCACTGGCACAAGGTCGCCTGGCAAAATCCCATGGCACGCTCTCCCAGACCTGAGTCTGACACTCTGACCACTGCCTTACGCTAGCCGGGAAAACACAAACCGGAGTCGAGTGGCACCTTTAAGACCAGCGCATTTTTATGCAAGCATAAATTTTATGCTGGAATTTTTTTTAAAAAATTTTACGTCTTAAGGCGCCACAGGAAGTCTGTTTATTTTTTTCTGCAACAAACTAAAAATACGAAGATTTATTTTTTTTTCCCATTTATAGCTCCCCCCTTTCTCACTGAGACGCAAGGAGTCTCTAGGACCACTGGTGGACCTCTGGATGGTACCTGGAATTTGGCCACAGAGTGTTGGACTAGATGGGCCACTGGCCTGATCCGACACGGCTTCTCTTATGTCTGGGGCAGTGATGCTCTGTCTTCTTCAGGCTTGGGGGGGTCCATCGGTGGCTCTTAGCCACAAGGTCTAGATAGGAACTCTCGGTCTGGGGCAAGGGATGCTCTGTACTCTTGGTGCTTGGGGGGAGGGCAAAAGCGGGAGGGCTTCTCGTGTTCTGGCCCCACTGCCGGACCTCCTGGTGGCACTTGGTATTTTTGGCCACTGTGTGGCAGTGTTGGACTGGAGGGGCCTTTGGCCTGATCCAACATTGGCTTCTCTTATGTTCTTCTATAGAGCAGAGGTCCATCAGTGGCTCTTAGCCACAAGGTATAGAGAGGAACTCTCGGTCTGGGGCAAGGGATGCTCTGTCTTCTTGGTGCTTGGGGGGGGGGAGGCAACAGTGGGAGGGCTTCTAGTGTCCTGGCCCCATTGGTGGACCTCCTGATGGCCCCTGGTGTTTTCGGCCACTGTGTGACAGAGTGTTGGACTGGATGGGCCATTGGCCTGATCCAACACTGGCTTCTCTGATGTTCTTATAAGAGGGAACTAGATAAGCATATGGAGCAGAGGTCCATCAGTGGCTCTTAGCCACAAGGTATAGACAGGAACTCTCAGTCTGGGGCAAGGGATGCTTTGTGTCCTTGGTTCTTGGGGGGGGGGGCAGTGGGAGGGCTTCTGGAGTTCTGGCCCTGCTGGTGGACCTCCTGAGGGCACCTGGTATTTTTGGCCCCTCTGTGACAGAGTGTTGGACTGGAGGGGCCCTTGGCCTGATCCTACACTGGCTTCTCTTATGTTCTTAAGCTGCCTTATACCAAATCAGACCCTTGGTCCATCATGGTCAGTGTTGTCTGCTCAGACAGACAGCTGCTCTCCCATGTCTCAGGCAGAGGAAGGTCTTTCCCATCACCTCCTGCCTGGTCCTTTTAGCTGGAGATGCCGGCGACTGAACCTGAGACCATCTGCATGCCAAGCAGAGGCTCTACCACTGAGCCACAGTCCCTACTCGGTTTGTTGCACCTGCGCACATTTCAGTTCCTAATACCTGGCAGACATGCTATCCCAGAAGATAGAAGCTCAGAGCTGGGAATCTCCCACGGTACACGGTCCTGGGAGCTGGATCCGGGAGGAAGAGAGTCCGTGGATGAAGTGTCCACTGTGGCGCTTTCTGGGCTCGTGTGTACGGGGACTTCCGAAAGCACAGCATCAACCTGATGGGTACCTGAGCAAGAAGAAAACTTGTGAGTTAGGGAATTGTACAGACGGAATGTACCAAAAGGCCACCTAGACTGTCCTACAGAAGAAACAAAGAGAACTGCTTAACTGAAAAACGTAAGAACATCAGAAGAGCCCTGTTGGACCAGGCCAGTGGTCCACCTAGTCCAGCATCCTGTCTCACACAGCAGCCAACCAGTTCCTCTGGAGGGCCAGCAATAGGGCAGAGAGGTTCAAGGCCTTCATAAGAACATCAGAAGAGCCCTGCTGCATCAGACCAGTGAGGGTCCATCTAGTCCAGTATCCTGCCTCTCACAGCAGCCAACCAGTTCCTCTGGAGGACCAACAACAGGACACAGAGGCCAAGGCCTTCAGAAGAACATCAGAAGAGCCCTGTTGGATCGGACCAGTGGTCCA